AGCAGAGATACGTGCGCTCATTCAAAGGTGGAAGGTTGCTATTGAGCGTAACGGGGAATATGTTGATAAGTAGGGATGTGATCCACAGAGGGCCAGCTTTATTTTGATGTATAATACATGTTCCTGTGTTGGTAATTATACCTGTCCGAAATAAAATGGCATTACTTTTTGACTCCCCCTCGTATATAAGTGTTGTATCAGTTGAATCCCCCGGCAGAATCTGTAATGATGCATGCTTATGTGTATTCCATCGATATAACTGTAAACGGAATGCCGAAGCTCCACTTTGATCAAGTTGCCATTGTATAGAATAGACCAATGATTGGCAAAGTATATAACGTACAACGAAATAGAATCTGTGCATGGAAATTAACTGTCATCACTTGGCACCGTACAGAATAGCGGAAGTAACTAAATTGGGCGGTGCAAAAGCCCATCGTGTCAGTAAGGACAGCGTCTCGAAGAGTGAAAGTTTGTAATGAGGGTAATAGAACTCCAGTTTATAGTAATTAATGAAAACAGTGTGAAGACAGATACTTTGAAGGATAGGAAGCACAGGCTAATCGGGCAGTAGAACAAAGGTACGTTAGAGTGAACGAATGAATGGACGCTCTGAAAACTGGGTGGGTGGTTTATAGGATTGGCGTCCATTCTGGCGATTTTGAGTTGGAATCCATTGGTGGCCGCTTTGAAACAGTTGTCCAGAATTCTCTTTCTATGAGGTGGTCTTGCATCAATACTCCTGTTGCCGATTACTAATGGGGTTTTCATTTGTCATGGCCTGGTATAGTGCCATCGTAACACTCATAGATACATGATGACAGTTTCAGTTGAAAATCCCTCTTTTTCCCGTTTTTTATGTCCAAGTCTGTTAGAGTATGAATTATTGTGGCATACAATCATACTCCATATTACTGGTAGATAGTATGGGTTTTGATTAATATAAATCTGTCACCATTCACAAGTAATTGCTTCCTTCATGCTCTCATATATTTTTCAGCCAGTCTGTTTGGAAGAGTTCCGCTCTTGTTAGAGCTCAGCGTTAGTGCATATCCTTATAGTGGCCACGCTTCCAAGGGCAATTTTGACTGCCACATCTCCAACGCCCTCACAGTAGACATGACTGAATTATCTTGTACAAAAGCTTAGCCACATTCGCTGATGATTAATGCTTAGGTCACCTCATCACCACGAGTATAGACGGTAACCGCTATGTTAACCGCAGTCAATGTTTCGGACTTCTGTTCAAGCTGAAATCACACTAATCATTAAATTTGTTGAAAGGGACATGCACGGTTGACGAATTTGAGTCGTGTTCTTTTTTTTGAAAACATACTAGTTGAAAAATCTGTGGGAATGCGATACATGTGAGCATTTGCAAGCTATGTTCAATTCGTATTGTTGGCTACTTGTTTGTATACAAACAAGTGCTATAGCTAACTTCGGTGTTCGTTAGTAATTGGGGAGTTTAGATGAAGTCGACGTTGAACACGTAATTCCGGTTAAAGTTTCCCTGTTGAAAAGAACTGAAAATGAGTTGCCGGACCGTGTCGCAAATAGTTAGTTATCTCTTATATTTCAACCAACTGTGCAACGGTTTCCACATCTCACCGTTACCATGATCGTAGAGCTAAGTGAATAGGATAATCAAAACTCGTTATCGATTACTTCCGCTTCCACCTACTGCACGACACTTAGGAAGGAACTGATGACTTGAATTTCGTTTGTTTTTCTCCATATCTACTTGAAGCACACATGACCAACGTGCTAAACGTTCTCTGCACCATAACTGCATCCGGTTGAATCCATCTAGTGACCGTTCTCGAAGAATGTCTACAATCAGGATTTGAACGATGTGCTCAACGGGAAAAAACATTTGTCGACGTTTATTTTAGATTACTGATGAGTAGTCGGGGATTTGGTTGATTTCAAGCTGAGCATCACCCACAATTGATCGCAGCTGTCACATCCCCATAGACTTTCCAATCGGCCCTTTTCGAAAAGAATCACTAGACTCGAGTTTCGCTCTCATTAGAACTCGGACACGCTGTTTACGAGGCAACTGTGTTTACCACTGCGCCATTGACCTCACGTTAGGTACGACCGAATTATCATATGTGAACGCTCAACCACTTTCGCTTGTGGTTATTTTGTGTTTATTTTACTTATTTATTTGTGATTAGTTTGGACGGCTGAACGCAAGTTAGTTATGTACTGGTTAAACTACCAGAAACAGCACGTTCCAGTTCGACGGTTTCACTGTCGATCGTTCTAAATTTGTTGACCCAGACGCAGGTTTTTTATTGTCGGTGAGCCTCAGCACTTCGAACCAATGTACCGACCAAATATCATATACTTCGATCGATTGTGCACGACCCAGTAATTACGATACGATAAGACAATAGAGAAGACAAAGACAGCCGTTTACTAATAACACGGATGTTCGCTGTAGCTTCCGATCTGACATGATCGACGAAAATATCACTCTGTGTATACAAAATTGCAAACTTAAGTACCATGTGAAAGCGAAACGATTACTCAAATAAACATAAAGTCCGTGTCTCATAAGTGACATCAAATCTATCTTCAGCTTCTGGTTCTTAAGGTGAGGCTAACCTTACTCCTAACACCTCACTTTGAATGTGTTGAATCTTGAATCTAGACTCAAAACTGACTTGCATATATATCGCTGTTTTCCTTCTTGTTTGATCTGATCAGTATCTAGGCTACTGACAGTGTGGATGGGATTCCTCGATAATACTTGGTGTCAGAATAGGTTCCGGTTGTTGCAGATCGAAGGTATCTAGGGAAACATCAAACAGCAAGTCATTCTCCTTTTGCATACATCCATGAGTTGAATGTGATTGGTTTGTCGCATCCAGAAGTTATCTTCGACTTGCACCTCGTAGAAGACTTCCATAAGCTGTTCCCGATTCCGACCAGTAGTCCATTTGGTCAAACATTTCTGGTAGTATTGTGTTATTACCGTTTCGCTGATTTGAAAGTCTTGAAATGTCACTTGAATTGGTCCCCGCCTTCTGGCCCTGTTTCTGATTCTTAGTATGAGCAGCGATGGCTTAAGAGGGCCCAGCTGTTGTGACCGCGAAAGTCGTTTGGTCTGGGAAATTGTTAACTGCATGACATCCATTGCAATTACATGAAAACACACAATCACGAACTCAATCACTGTTTTTTTTCGGCTGCCACGTATTTATATCCTAGGCAATAGTCCAGCCACAGCCCGTTTTTTGATACATTAAGCATAATACATATACACTTGTACCATAGTTTCTCCTAGTCCCCGGTCTTCCTGGCGCTGAGGCTTGCCGTTTAGTTTCCGTACGTGCGAGTTATGCTATACTGCTCATCGATGAAGCCGCATGATGTACAGTACAATGATAACCGAATCTTCTGACCGATGTTAGATTCAGCTGGAGATATTTTATCTGGCGTTTGTGGATACCGTGCCGCTCGGTAATTCATCATGAACGTTTCCAACAATTTGACCATTGTTCCATCGCCCTGAATTTTCTAAAAGGTGTGTTGAATGTATCAACAAAGCGGTCCGCCTGGGTGTTGAATTGCGGACGAAAGAGTGCAGAACGGAGATGACTGATACTGTTCTGTATGGGGAAATTTACAGACACGGACGAAGTAAGCTGGCTTCCGTTATCACTAATGAGCATGTTCAAGTCTCCAAATATACTGGAGATTCCCTGGACCAGAGAGATGGTACCACTTGTGATGGCCGTCCTCATTAGGGTGATCGACAGTTATTTACTGAAGACACCCACAGCGTTTCGAAAGTCCTATCCATGAGACGGCCTAGCGGAATTCAGATGAGTCCTGGACCAAGGCGCTGCCAGCTGGATCAAAACTAGTGAATTCAAAGAGGGATATTCTAGGCACCAACGTACATTTGTGCCAGAAACGTATCATTCGATCTGATTCCTCATCAATCCAAGGCCAGTAGACATGTCTGTGTACTAAAAATCCCATCCCCTTGATTTTCGGATGTCTGGTGTGAAAATCAATCACGTTAGTCTGCATTTCCGTCTGTACTACAACCCTTTTTCGACAGAGGCTATCACTGAAAGTAGATAGCAGGATAGGTCTCCGTGTTTACTGTGCTAGGTCACTTGAAAGTCCCGACCGTAGCCGTCTTGTTGAAGTACGTTCTGGTCTATTTTATTACGTTGTGTTGTCTTACGTACCATTTCCAAAGTAACTGGATATGTGCGGATGGTCTGTGGGAATGCCTGGTTCATTTGTGACTTGACTGATATGACTGCAATTACCGACTCTTTTGGATATGGCGTTTTTCAGGCAAGGGAGCGCATCGGCTCATCCATTTGTCATTGTGGACGTTGCTTGATTTGCAAGTCATAGTTCGACATAACCTTAGCCCGCCGTTTGAGGTTGATTCATCGTGTAGACAGAACTTTCGCGAAAGTTTCCATCTGATCGTAGAAGAAGAGGTGATAACCACTACGACCAACGAGGTTTACCCACAAGACGTAAGAAGTGACAGGCGATCGGTGATGGCCAAAGTTGTGTTCGAATGCAGCCGAAGCCCTGACTTTTCACATTTGGGTCTCATCTAAAAATCATATATCTGCCAAACTACTCATTAGTAATGCAATTTCTATGCTCAACAGTGGCGTTGGTGGATTCCAGCGTGAACTGTTCGATAAATCCTGCCGGGGCAGTCGATCCCCTGGATCATTTGGTGGATTCCACATGAGACAGTGGAACGGGTGGGTAACTGAGTCCAAATGTGAAATTTCCGAGCTCCTGGCGTGGCTTCGTAGCTCAGCTGATAGGGCGCTTGCCGCGTTTGGGGCGTGGTGTTTCTGTCGCTGGTTCGAATCCAGCTTAAGCCCTGACTTCACAGTCGGGTTTCATCTGTAAAAAAAAAGACAAGAATTATCGTCTTAATATGTGGAAAGGTTTCCATCGACTGACTGTTAGTAAACACAGACAGGCAGCTTAGTACTTCTGCTTGTTTCACGCTTTTGATTTGAACATCACTCACAAGCGGTTGTAGTGTTCGTACTATCGCGGACTCAACCTTCTCTTCTGTTAAAGCCCGTCAGTAGTATTACAGCCAAGACTGAAACTCCAGCCACGTCTTCATGAGGCAGCCATGTTGACCACTGTGCTATTGACCTCACACGAACCGATACCAAATTATCATGTCTGAACGCTTAACCACCTTCGTTTGTGAATATTACTCAGATTTTCCGATCGCCTTGAAAGGAGACACGGTGAGTGTCCTTTCAACTGCAATCGATGATCCCACGACTAGGTCTTATTCCCAAATTCAACCCACAGAGATCATTAACTTGCTGGATGATATTTTGATTACTAGTGATTAGGAGGGGTTTAAGTTGGTCCCCACTCACAAACGATCAGTGGTCAATACGGTAACCCCGTGAAAGTCTGGCCAGAATCCGAATTCCGGCCGTGGCTAGGATATGCACTATTGACTTGTTCTATCAAGATCGATACTCGAGTATAGTACTACTTTCGAAATGAGCTGACTCAAACGTCAACTACAATTGCTGTGAGCAATTGTGAGTGATTTTAAAATTGCATTAACCACAATCCACAACCACTTAACAGAAATTTGAGGAATCTTAAAAATTTTGCAGTTATTCTCTTACAGGAAGCTTTGACGAATACCACTGATGATTAACTATAGCAAATAACAATGTCTGCGATCACTGTTGATCCCACCATTTGAGCGAATCAATTACACAAGCCGGCCCTCCTAGAATAGAAGTACTGAAATTTAATTTTGATGGTTCTACTAGTTGGAGCTAATGTTTCAATGGCACGCTCAAATGGCCCAATAGTTACAGTTGACGATTGTTTGGTGATGGCATTATGATGATCTAGAGATTTTTTGTTTCACAAGAATTGAATGTTTTGTATTTTCAGGGAAAATAAGACTATTCAGTCATACACTTGGAGGCTTTCCATTAAACTGATGCTATCTGTGAGCCAATGCGTAGTTGAGTTTTTGTAATTTTAACAAAATAGAGCCGACATTTCGACGATCCAGAAACTCGCGGACAGCAAAATTGATGCGATAAACTGACGACCTTTAAGCCCTCCTTCTCCTCCTCATCATCATAGACAGCAATACATCAGAGGTTCTCAGTGGTACTTAACTGCCCTCAGTATAACCTAACTGAGCATCTGCTGGAATTATTATCTAGGGATGTATTGGAATAATCGCACTTGTTAATAGAAAAGTCAAATGAAGGGCCCATTCAATAAACGTGGAATGCAATGAATGAAGTAAAACGTGAAGGTTTTACCCGTGGCATGTTTTCTGCATTTGTTATTTACTCCCGAGCATAAAACCTTGTTCGCATTAATAATCTCCATTTGTCATTCATATCAAAAACGAATCGATCCGTGTAACATTACCGAAAGGTAAACCAAAAAGTTGTTGATCCCATAACTTCGTTGCAGGTTGTATACATGTTTTCCTCGAAATACCATCAATAAAAACCAATCAAATGGCGTATATTAAATAGAATCCGATCGATCGCCATCCGGTTATTTGACTCCTTTTTGTGTTACTATTACTAATTCGTACGACGTTTGCAACTCCGTGTCTACCAGCGGACCACCTTCTTAACACACATTCACACAAGGTCACGTCATTGACGTGGTGTGTGTGTGGGGGGGAACGCTGGTCATTTTGTAAAGCCTCATCTTCAGGTAGCTAAAAGGTTTATTTCCAAATTTGTTATCGATCAATTTCTAGATTTTGCCTACTATCTCATCAGTCTTCACTTAACAACTTTTTTTGTAGTATTGCTGAGACCGAGAATGATCAAAAGCAATTGTCCTTCACTTCTTGTGTCCTACTGTTCAATAAGTCGTGTTCAGATCGACGCCGATCGACCCACGCTGCCGTACTTCGACTTGCAAACCCACACAAAACCGTTGTTGAAAACAAACATACATATGTGCATTTAAACAATACTAGTGGATTTAGGGCAATCATAAGTGCTTGGTTTGTAATCTATAAAATCGTTCGATAAGCTACCAGAATGCACTTTACTTACATGCTGGTTACTTCATCGTTGCTGGCTAAGAAACAAACGGAAAGTGTGGGGTAGTATACAACGGTACATATTTTCCAGTCGATCGTCTGTAGGTGCTTGCGTACGAACACATCGCTGTATTGTATGCGTAAGTTTGTCAAGTGTAGAAGGATTATATGAATATACGAACATATGTATTCAGTAGAGACTAACGTGAACAACCATATCACGTTGTGACACTTTTTAAAATGTACACTCCGTAATTAATTTTCACCTAGTTTGGACTGTGAAGTTAAGTGCAGTGAGGCTTGTTACCGAGCTGTTGACCTTCAAGTTGCAAACAAACGGGCCTAGTTAAACCAAACGCACACCACAGTGACCATCGGGGAGGACAGCTACAAAGGGCATCCGCCGCTTGCGTCAATATACAATCAAGACTGTCTACGAAGTACAACACCATCTCTGCCAAACACGTGATCAAATGAAAGTGAGACTTAATTGTGGTTTTTCTGCCTGGACCTAAATCTTGTACTTTTCACGTCTTTATGACCGTTGCTTACGTGTGAGCCATTTGCTAGCGGTGGATTTTGCAGTTGGTATCAAGTAGGTTGCTACAATATTCCACGAGACTATTCTTATCACGAAAATTGACTTCAGTGGGTAGCCCACAATCGTGAAGAAGTGCCTTGATCTCTACAGTCGTACATGGAGGAACTAAACTAAGGTTACTGATAAGTAGTTTGGCAGATTTGATAATTTAGATGAGATCCATTTGCGAAAAATCTGGACTTCGGCTGGATTCGAACCAGCGAC